ATACTGCAGAAACACAACCACATAGCGTGTCCATGTTCTTTTGGAACAGTGAGACCAGTAGCTCGGAGCAAAATTTATAAACCACTTACTGGACCATGGGCACGTCATTCAGCCTTCATGGTCACAGTTTCTTCATCTACAGTATGGAGCTAGTAATGTCTGCTCTGGCTACTTTTTGGGGCCTTATGGGGGCCACATGCATACATTGAGAGTTTGGGGGAAACATTAAAGCACCTTTTGAATGGCAGCCTCTCCTTTCTATGAGAGGAAATAGCACAAGCAAAGCTAGCAGAAGATACCTTTTATGTGCATCCTGGTAACTTAACGGTAGATGTTACAAATTTATGTCTTGAGTTTCTTCCATGCATACTTTATCTCTGTTAGATAAACAAGGTATAGCATTTGTAAAAACTGGGTCCTCGCCTGCACCATCAGAAGAAAGTCACTTCTCAAGTACAAGGCATTTATCTCTCCTGGCACAGAGGTTATTTTAGGTGGACCATTAACATGGCATTAAGTAAGATGAGTGAAAAGTTGCTCCATATTTAGTTTAAGCCTTCTAATTAGGTCATGCTAGTATTTCTTTAATATCCTTTTAACACTCATGAATCTCCTTTTTAACAGAGATCCTAGATCCCAAAGCCTTGTGCAAACATCCCCAGCTAGAATTTAAAGTATTTTCACTGTATAGCCTTTATGTTTGCAGTTTTCTTCTATCTATAACAAGTTGGTTGGTTTAACATTTATTGTACACATATAATTTCCTTCTAAGATAACCTTATTTATGTAAAAAGGGTAATTTTCTTTAAATGAAATGTTGAACAGTAACACCAGAGATATGCACATAAAATCAGAATTGTTCAGGTAGTACCAAATGACTGAAGCTTAGAGAGCATCAACTAAGATAGCTATCTACCTAAAATACACTAAAGAAAGCTCATGATATGGCATAGTAGTCAAGTGAGGCACTAGATATAAGGAAAGCATTTGGCCTGTCTGTTCTTCAGTTTCCTCTTAAGAAAAGCAGGGCTAACCTAAGGACCTCAGCTACGGGGTTAATGATGTCTGCAAATGGTTAGCAGAGTGCCGGCATACAGGGACCACTCTGAATGTGACAGCAGCTGTTTCCTGAGACAACCACTAGTTTGGGACAGTTTTTAATGAACCTCTGCCCTCTCTACCATGTTCTGTGTCCAGGAGGTGACTTGCGTGAATCACAGCGAGTTCCAGGTGGGTTTGGCCAATTGAAGTGAAACCACGGTTTAAGTCCATTTCACCTACCTTCTGTAATCACAGTTATTTTAAGACTTACCTTTCCTCCAAGCAGAAGGAAACTAGAATCAGCTGTGTTTAGTTTCAACTGATCTGATGAAGATGGAATAGAACCCACAACCTTCAACTGGGTATGCGCTAGTGTCTGCTAGTTGACCTTTTCACATCAGTGGGCTAGAAAACTCCAAGAGCGGAGACCTGTTAGGCCTGGTTATGCCTGTGCAGAACGAGGATTCTTGCACCTTCTTTCAATCACCCTTCCCCACACTCCCTTTGCCTAAACCCGCTCTGCTGCCGTATCCCATAAATATCTCACCCCTTGCCCTCCGGCAGGCAAATGTGAGATTTGTTTTCCCATCTTCTCGCTTGGCTCTCTTGCAAAAAAATCTTTTCTTTGCTGCACTCCTAGGCTTGTCAGGATTTTGGCTTGCTGAGCATTGAGCAAAATGAACCTGGTTCAGTAGATTAAAGCAGCAGTCCCCAACCTTTTTGGCATCAGGGATTGATTTCATGGAAGACAGTTTTTCCTCGGGGGAGGAGGGGAAGAGGGAAAGAGGGATGGGGGAGGGGAGGGGAGAAGGGGTGGGGGAAGAGAGAGGAGGGATGGGGAAGGGGGAGGATGGACGGTGGTGTGGGGTGGGGACAGGGAAGGTTTTGGGATGATTCAAGTGCATTACATTTATTGTGCACTTTATTTCTATTATGATTACATCAGCTCCACCTCAGATCATCAGGTGTCAGATTCTGGAGTTTGGGGACCCCTGGATTAAAAGATGGGAAGAAAGTGGGGGTCAGGTTAGGTCCCAAATCTCTCCCTGAATGTAGCTTCAAACTTAGATTATACCCGAAGTCCAAAAACAGTTCAGGCTAATTGATACTCAAGCTAGAATTTTGAAATAGTCTCCCAGTTGTCACGCTTTGCTTAGTTATAGAAAACCACTTGAGGCTGCTTTTTTTTTTTAATAGAAAAACTCAATTCTAATGACATTTTTTGTTTGGTCTAATTATAAATCCTGGTACAAATAGGGCACCTGAAGTTCTGTCTGGGAGAGCTATTGATATAATCAATCAGTGCCTTGATCACATTGCCATGCTCTTTTTATTTGATCTAATTATAAAATATGTTTAAAAACATACAAGCTTGCATACCACCTGGTAAACTCCTATATAAAAGTTTATAGAACCAGATTGAGACCTATTTTGTATGTTCATTTATTCTTTCTTTCATTCTGTCAACAAATGTTGCTAACACCTTTTCTGCCAAGACCCAACAATAGGCAAGGTAGACAAAGCACCTGCCCTCATGTAGCTGACATCTTATTCTGGAAAAAAGGCAAGCCTGCACATTTTCACTTCTCACAACCATCCAATGACACAGATACTATTATTAGCCCAGTTTACAGAGGGCAAAATTCAGGCTTCAAGTAAGTCAAAACATCAGGATTCAGTCCCAGGTCAATCTGAAGACATACTCTGAGCTTTTAATTAGTATTGAGATATTGTATACAATATACTGATCCCTCTTTATGAAATGGTACTCGGGGAAAGGGTTGGATTGGCTCCCCAAAATAACTCCAAGGACATAGGTCCTGACTTCAGTCAAAAAGTTTATATCGAAAGTGATTCATTACTACTTTTTAACTTTCTTAATGCACTTATTTTAAATTAAAAAATAAATGTTCCTGGGACTTCTCTGGTGTTCCAGTGGCTGAGACTTGTGCTCCCAATGCAGCTTCCATCCAGGTCAGAAAAGTAGATCCCAAACACTGCAACTAAAAGTTCGCATACCACAACTAAGAGCCTGCACAGTCAAATAAATTTTTTTTGTAAAGAAAGAAGATAAAAAAAAAAAAAGCCAAGTATTCCTTAAAGCAGACATGAAAAGCTATATAGAATAGTCAAGCTCTCAGGTTCTAGAAGCAGACAGCCAGGCTTAGAATCCTGGCTCCCCAATTTACTAACTCTTGACTCTGAGAATTTTATTTAACTTTTTGGGCCTCAGTTTCCTCAAATGTAAAATGAGGACAGGATTAGCATCTATTTCATAGGTCTGTTGTCAGGATTAAATGAATTAATACATGTACACTTGGAATTAATACATGTAAACTTGGAATCACATGATAACTGCTCAATAACTTTTAGGTAGTATTACTGTTATTTTAATACATAAGTCTGAAAACTTTATTATTTTCTATAATTTCCAACTGAGAGTTTTCACATGACTCTGTTCTTCAGCATTTTCCCATCCTAACAGCCTTTTTAAAAGTCTATTTCTTGCATAGCACAGGTAGCTCAACTCGGTGCTCTGTGGTGACCTAGACTGGTGGGATGAGATGGGGCTAGGAGGTTCAAGAGGGACAGAATATATGTGTACATATAGCTGACTCACTTCATTGTACAGCAAAAGCTAACACAATATTGTAAAGCAATTTTACTCCAATAAAACTGTTTCTATTTATGATGAGCATAATGCCAGCTACTGTCTTAGAATTACAGAGTGTCTATGACCACTAATAACTATGTAATCTCAAGAAAGAAAAGTCCGTGTTTTACATTTGTAAACCCTTGTAAGACCTGGTGCATGACTCAAAAATTGTCTGAATAAATGGAGGAGTAATTGAATAAAGGTACCAGATTGAACATGAATAGAAATTGTATTTGATACAGTTAATCTGGCTTATTTATTTATAACCATTCCTCCAATTTCTAATTCAAACCCCAACCCGTGAGTTTCTCTATTCCAAATGGTCTTTCTGATTTGAAACAACTATAGATACTGTATTTGTTTGCCCTTTTGTTTTTACCCCCATCTCTTTCCAGAAACAACTTCAAATGACTTAGAAGGACATATGAAACTCAGGATGAAATTAATTACAAATGAGAAGGAAAGAAGACAGGAAAGGCAGGATGGGTATATAAAACACAGAGTATAGAGTTCAAATAGCCAGACTTTATTTAAAAAAAAAAAAAGCACATTATAAGTGGGTAACGAATTGGCCCTAAGTTTTCTAAAGCAACATGAAATGGTCAATTGGTGAGTTACATAATTTACAATGACCCCTGGATGGAAAGAGACCAGTTGTTCAGAAGATTCAGTCTTAGCAGTGGACCCTCTCCAAAAGTCACACCTAACAAATATCCACAACAGCATCTTTAGAGTGTAAGTGCTCCTCAGGATCTTGATGGAAAGTAATTCAGTCACAGCATGAGGGAAGGCTAACCAGAGTAAGTGATATCACCATGGCCTCAGATAGGAAAGAAACAGGTTTTCTACTTGAGGCATTTTTCATTTAAAATAATTCCTGTTGCTATATTAAATATACTGTTTCCCTTCCCAGATCAGTGTTTTGTTATCTAGGTAAATAGGATGCAACATCTTTCTAGTAGTCAAACATAAATACAGTAAATCTGCACGATTGTCTTATGTTAGAACATGATCTGCTGAAGTCTTAGGAGTGCCTCCCAGTCCCACCCTCTTTAGAGAGGGAGGGTCACAAAGAAGGTTATGACAAGTAGCCCCCCCATTGTCAGAAACACAGTAATCATTCATTAGTGTTACTATTATTATTTATTTTCTGGAGATAGAAATTAATATCACATAACTATATTCATTTTTCAACATGGTTCCAGTGCTGTGGGATCTTGGAATTTTTCAAAAGGCAAACCAGTTGATTTGTTTCTAGAACTCACTTCTCATTCCTATTTTCTCTTTCTGTTTGTTCCTGTAGGATTTCATCGTCACGGTAGTCTTTTCGTTCTTGTGGTTGGTGGGTTCATCAGCTTGGGCAAAAGGACTGTCTGATGTCAAGGTCGCTACAGATCCCAAAGAAGTATTGTTACTGATGTCAGCTTGCAAACAGCCATCCAACAAATGCACGGCTGTCCACAGCGCTGTGATGTCCAGCCTAAACACTTCTGTGGTATGTTTCCCTCTCAGATCTTCGTTTGCCAATCACGGGAATCAGAAAAGTGTCCCAGGAGTCATCTGGGAAATGTTTTGCCTCTGAATGGAGTCTAGTCTAAAAGGTGATAGTTCACTCTATGGGCTAGATGATCCTTTGGCCTTCAAGTTTTCTATTGTCAGAACCCATAGACTTTAATGTGTCCAATTACAGAGTTCTTAACAAGAGCCCGGCAGGTTCAGGCAGCTTTTGCTTGGATGACGGTCAAGTCAGAATTCTAAGGCAGAAGCAGATATAAAATCTGAACTTTAAGACTGAAGTCTGCCAGAAGGTAAAAGGAATATTTGATAGCTTAGAGGTTTCCTGGGATGAAAACATCGTTCAAGCCACGCATAGAATATACCCAGTTGATTGTCTAGAGAAAAATACACAGACACAGTAAGGTATATATAGAAATCATAGAATAAAAAATACCTATAATAGTTATGATAATTTTTTAATCTTCTTCATGCTCTTGGTTTAGTTGCTTGATAACTTCAGAAAAGCAGAGCTATATTAGTTGAACAAAGTCCAGTATTATCCTCAAGTATATGACTCTTACTGGGAGACAGGACATCTGACAGATAGCAGAGCCACTAAATTGGCTTCTTATTTCATGAGTGTAAGAACTTGTGTTATTCCAAAGAAGGAAACTATATCTGAGAGACAGAAACTATAATGACAGCAAAAAGTAGTAGTTACAAAGAATAGATGGGCCAACAGTGTTCACTGAAGGATCGACATTCTTTAGCAACCTTTAAAAAATAATTATCTTTCCTTCAAGGTTAACTTATGTTTCTACAGCTTTCTGGAATTTAAGAAAGCATATGAAAAGGGAAAAAGATTGGCTCATCGGCTACTGATGATTTGACTGTGAATCTTGCCTTATTAATAAGATAATAAATTGAAATTAACTATTATTAGGATCTCACAGTAATTTTTACTTATTTCTAGCCATACCTGTGGATGAATATTTTGAGGTATATGTTAAAATATATTCTACTGCTTCTATAGTTTGTTTACAGGCAGTGCTTAGTGAAAATTTTATAGCCCTGATCTCAGAATCTAAGAGAGCAAAGACGAAATCATTCAGTATGTTTGTTAGTTCTTTTAGTAAATGATGACATCCTCCATAGTCCATGTAATCCCACTTCTGATGTCTCTTCCAACAAGGCGTTGGAAGTTTTGAATGAGAAACAATGTGACATATGTCTTAAAAACCAAAATAATAATGGATGGAAAGCAAATCATGTCATGTGTGTGGAGGGGTGGGTCTGGTGCTGTTGTAAATTATCCATAAGTTATCCATGTCAGTGTCCTCCAGTTCCTAGTGGCAGAAAACTCCACCTAAACTGGCTAAACCAAAACAGTCTCCTTATCTGTAAAGTCTGTTCTTTGTAACCCAATTCTGGTACCAGTGTCTATATGAGGTGTAATGATTGGGTTGTAAGTAACAGAAAGTGACAAATCATCCATAATTTTTACTTCTTTTTTTCCACCAATGCAATCTTGATACATCTTGTCAGATCATTTAAATGTCCTCTCCCATTCTTTTTCATATTATGTACTGTCTCTTTCAGCCTCTCTTTCTGTTGTCCCACATCTAGACTAGAATAAAAATACCGACTCTGATTTCAGTTGCAACAAAATGACAAGGGAAGATTCAGGGGCCCATGTGCCCCTAAAATGTGCCAGCCAAGAAGTCTGTGATACCTCTGTGATGACCTATACAATAGTGATAGATGTCTACCTCTATGATATAAGAATAAGACATCACCACTCCTTAAATAGGCCCATGGCAATACCTTGTTTACATTCTTACTTTAAAGCTGCATTCCCCTGATTTCTAGGTTCTTTTCAGGCATCCCTTTTTTAGAAATGAAGTAGCATCAGGGGAAAGGAAGTGATCAAGGAATAGAAAACAGATAAAATTATAGTCCTGGGTAGAACCATCCCTTCATATCTGAAAAGATTCCACCATAGTTTTTTCTACTCATATCAACCTATACTTTCAGAGGTGTAATTTAATCAAGCTCTCCCCCTTGAGGGAAAATACCTTAGTTATTGTACACATGGTTAAAGGCTCCTGTGTGTAAATTAGAGTTGTGTCAGTGATTCCTAATTCATTTTGATCATGCAACTATTATACTATAAAGACCTCATTTATGTTTTGTATCTCCCTTAGCAAGGAGCCTAGAGCATGGCGCACAATGTTAAATAAATCTCAGTTAACATTAAAGGAAGAAAAAAAAGATGGGATTGGGAGAGGGTTGGAGGGAGGGATGGAAGGAGGGAAGGGAGGATGGTGAGAGGGTGAGAGGAAGGTAAGGAAGTCTGGATAAACTGATTTTCAGTGAGATCTTTAAGGAGTCTAGCAGTGTCTTTTGTTTTGTTTTTTAAGGTTTGACTGTCCAATCATATTTTTAAAATAGTGCTATCAATTTATTTTATTTCATTTTTGGCCACGCCACATGGCACTTGGGATCTTTGTTCCCTGACCAGGAATCAAACCCACAACCCCCTGTAATGGAAGCACTGGAAATGGGGAGTCCTGCTAGAGAAGCCCCTAGATGCTCAGTTTTGATCTTGACACCTCAAGAACATGACCTCACTATCAAAAAGCCTGCTTCAGTTTATGTCTCAGGAAAAGTCAAATGCAATTCGTGGAAATATTTTAGAAAGTGATTCAAAGCATAATTTATAGATCAGTGTCCAGCACTGTCTAGCTGCTTTACATGTGCCCTGTTTGATCCTCACAACTATCCACCAAGAAATAATTGTCTTCATTTCATAGAATTTTATAAATGCTGAAGTTCAGAGGCTAACTGCCTTGACCAAAGTCATAAAGCAAAAAGTTGCAGAGCCCAGGCCATTCAGATTCTGAAGCCAGAAGGGATGGGCTCCAAGGCTGAGATTCAGATAATATGCCCTGACCCACCTGCTGCTAAAATCATGAAGCTTGGAGCTGGTTTTCCAAGCTCCCAGTATCCCTCATCTTGACTTCCTAACCTGCCACTCCCATCCCCAGGTCACTCTGTGGCATCCCACCATCCAGCAATTAAGAGATAAATCACTTGGACTCAGCAAGGAACTTCTAAAGGCCCACTCCAGAGCTGTGACTGCTGCCCACGTTCATCCTGATTGCTCAGCATCCTGCTGGAGTGACTGCTCCATATACTTTGATGTCATCACAGTTTTGTCACACACTCTCATTGTCTGTCTCTGAGAAGGGGCTGCTGCAACTGGTTGTGCTTAATTCGCAGTCAACTGACCCACTTTGGAAGAGGCTACAAAACAACTGTTCTCTTTGGGCCTTTTACGGCAGCAAACAGCTCAGTTTCCATAAAACACTTAGGACCCAGGGAAGTGACACCCAGTCCTCTGGCTCACCAGGGACATGCTTCTGGAGAGTGGGAGGAGATTCCATAGGCAAGTCTCACATTCAGTTGTTGAGAAAACGTTTCATACTTCTCTGAAACCTGGACTTCAGAGTATTGTTTGGGCATTCACCTCTGACTGTGAGAGACACAGAACATACAATATTCAATGCACAGCCTCTGTGTACACTACCATACATGTGCTTGTCTGCACACCACCTATACCACTGCTTCCTCCGTACTTTTTAAGTTGACTCGTTTCTGTCATTTCAATAAATGGAAAAGTAGTATCTCTAGCATTAAAATGAAGGTAACCTTATAAGTTAATGGTCCATCATTAAAATGAAAATAACCCCACCTCCCCTAAAGATATTTTACCCCATGAGGGTTACCTCATTTGGGGAGATAGTGGTGGATTAGATAGAGGCTCAGACTGTGGAGTCAGGTGGAACAGGGCTTATCCCAGGTCTGCTACTAACCAGTCATGTGGCCATAAAAAAAGCTGCGTATTTTTTTGCTGAACCTGTTTTCACATCTTTAATATGACTATAATAGCACCTTCCATGACTAAATGAATAGATGCACATAAAGCCCTTCCGTTGTTGTTGTTCACTTACGAAGTTGTGTCCAACTCTTTGTGACCCCATGGACTGCACCATGCCGGGCTTCCCTGTCCTTCACTATCTCATAAAGTTTGCTCACACTCACGTCCACAGAGTCAGTGATTCCATCCAACCATCTCATCCCCTGTCTGCCAAACACATAGTAAGCCTTCATGAAAAGTCATATATTCTAAATGAAACAGTGACTTCACACCAGAAACTGGAAGAAGCCTCTGCATGGAGGTGAAAAGTGACCTTTTGTGTTTGAAGGATTTTTCTGAAATTGAGATTTTTCTGAGCTTTCTCTCCAATCTGTCCACTCACTTGCTTTGATCCTCCTTCAGGTCTTTGGATTCTTGAACTTTATCCTCTGGGCTGGAAACATCTGGTTTGTTTTCAAGGAGACCGGCTGGCATTCCTCGAGCCAGAGATATCTTTCAGACCCCATGGAGAAGCACTCCAGTAGCTACAACCAAGGCGGGTACAACCAAGACAGCTATGGGTCAAGCAGTGGGTACAACCAGCAGGCGAGTTTGGGGCCATCCTCAGATGAGTTTGGCCAACAGTCTGCTGCCCCTGCTTCTTTTACCAATCAGATGTAACAGGGTAGTTTTGGCATTCTTCTGAAGATCGTTTCTCCCCATTCTGTGTCAGTGGCAGAAGAATTTTTAAGAGTTTCAATCAATTATTAATGTAGAGAGTGTTGAATGTAAATCAGAGGTCTGTCGTCCTCATTAAAGCAGATAGGCCTGGGTCGTGATAAATGGTATTTAAAGATGACATGAGGAGATATATTATTCATTACAGATGGCTAATTGGAGAGTACCTTGTTATATACACATACTTTTATGGTTGTTTTGTATGCGTGTTGAGATAGTGGAACCATTTTGTAGCTTAAAGTCTCTAGTATGTAATATGCATAAAGTAAATTAAATAACATTGAATTTTCTTATGCTTTTTGATGCGAAAGATGTTTTAATGATTTCTCTAAGATAGGCTGGCGCATCACAATGTGCATGTATTATTATTTTTTAGTTGCAGGCCCTGTAGGATTGTGAAGTCTCTAAGTATTGGTTTCAGACAATTACTCTGTATTTTTTTTTAATTTGATGAATCAATGCTCATATGATTTAGTGCATGAAAGCATTTTCTCACAAAATGAACATTTGAACTGTATGAAAATTTTCCAGTTTGCATCACGAATTTGTTAAATGGACGTTTAAAGAAATATATTCGCTACTTTGTATATTTGCAGGCTTGTCTCTCTGGGTTTCTCTAACCCTGAATGCATTGTGAGTAAGGTTTGGAGTTTTTTCCCTCCCTGATCAGTAGATATTCAGTGTTGTAGATGGTAATTGCCTGATATCTATTCTATTTAGTTAGCTAAATATTTACATTCTTGTAACTTTCTATGATGTTTTGTGGCTTTTCTCCTATGGGCCATGAACAATGGGCCCAATAGCTGTGAGTGTTGGTGGAGTGTTGTTTCCTTAGAATGATGGAGATGTGGGTGTCAGACACCACAGTCAAGATATTGTGCTGCCATATTAGTTTATCAAGGATATTCTGGAGAACCTAGACCACCAGCTAAATGTTTAAATCCTATTTATTTGTAAAGTTAATTAAGTCCTAGATCCAATTACTAAAAATTCTCAAGTCTCAGCTCAACTTACAAAGTCTGATTTGTATGTTACCCATAAATTGAAAATGACTTCCATGAAGCAGTCTGTCATCTCATTAAATATTTCCCAGGATGTATGCATTATCAATCTTTGCCTCTTTGTTTTAACTCAATGGAAACACCAAGGCCCCACAGTGAAGGCAAGCTGAGCATCTGTATCTCCAGATAAAAGTCGTTATTGATGTATAAACTCGTTGTGTGATCCGTGATGTTGGAAACATTTTAGTCCAAAAGAGCCGCGTGTCTTAGATGATATCTGTAAACTGTTTCTGGATCCTGTTGGATAAATCTGTATGTGATATCTCTTTGACCTTAATAAAGTTATTGCATACAATGCTGGCTGGAAAATGGAGAATTACAGCGGAAGAACCTGCTGAACTTGAACAATAAGAGAACAAAGGGTAAATGCACAGTCTGTCCAGTCTCTCACCCTGTCCTTATTTTGTGAGCTCAGGGCTATTCATTCATTGATTCCATAGTTCTAGAACCTTCTGTGTACCCTCTGCTATGCAAAGCATTGGGGATAGGATAGAAATACAGAAGCATGCCCCAATTCAGGAAGCTGACACTCTGTTTGGGGTGTAAATAGAGTAAAATAATCACACAGAGAGTAAAATAATCACACCCCATCTACACTGTGTGTGAGAAAGAAAGGCTCAGGATTCCACAAGAATGCTTATCGGAGGGACTTGAGCTGCTTAGGGGAAAGTGAAGAAGCTTGAATCTGCCTGAAGACGGTAAGGTTTCATGAAGACAGGGCGCGAGGAGGAGCATCCCAGGCAGAGAGCAGCCTTACAGAACTCTCAGACGGCAGGAGGCAGGATGGGTCTGTAGAGCGTGACGTGGGGGGCTTGGAGAGGGCTTTAGCTGCTGCTGGGTAGGAGGCAGCGGGAAGTCCCGCTTGGGGGCCATGATCAAGAATTCTGTCTTTATCCTAAAGAAGCTGAAGGAAAGCACTGAAGTATTTAAGCAGAAGAAGGACACAATGAGATTTTTGGGGGAGTGGGGGATTTAGTTGCTTTACAATTTATTTAGTCTGTGTGCTCAGTCATGTCCGACTCTTTGCAGCCCTTTGGACTGTAGTCTGACAGGCTCCTCTGTTCATGGGATTTCTCAGGCCAGAATACTGGAGTGGGTAGCCATTTCCTCCTCCAGGAGATCTTCCCGACCCAGGGATCCAACCTGCATCTCCTGTGTCTCCTCTCTGTTAGCACAGAGCATTGAGTAGAGTTCCCTGTGCTATATAGTAGGTTCTTACTAGAATCTATTTTTTACAAAGTAGTGTATACGTGTGTATATTAGAACCTATTCTTTACCCAGTAGTGTATATATGTCAATCCCAGTCTTGGTTGCTGTAGGATAGAGCAGAGGGCATCCTGGAGATAGGAAATAGCCTTGACCTAGCACCTATTAGGCAGTGGGCTAGGCGAATGGCATGAGTTCTCCCCACATCCACCTCTGATTTCCTGAAAGAGAAGCTCAATTGGTCTGCTTTCTTCAGCTCTATCCAGAGGGACAGAGTGACCTCTGATTCTTACACTTCCATTAATTCTCCAAAGTGGAGAAATCTTCAGAACCAGCCTTTGTTGTTCATGTTGTTTTACCAACCTCAACAGTCCCAAAATACAATGGAAAGCACTGCCTGGCCTGGTCCAGGTAGAGACATGCTTCCAGAGTCCACTGCAGATTTACAGTAAAATGCTGCTGTAATCCAATGGGGATTTCATTAAGCTAATTTTATTCCTTCTGGCTTTAAGAAAAGAGCAGTTAGATCTGGCCTCTTAAAAGGAGAGTAATCAGTGTGGTAGGAGGCCTCAGATCTGTGTGTCCAGTAGAGCTCATTTGGCATAGCAGTGTCTCTGCTCACTAGCTGTATTTCAAGATGTGACTGCATATTCCTGAGCCTTCATTTCCTTGGGAGGAGGTAACGCATCCAAGTAAAAAGGCTGGGCTCTGAGATCCTGCCACCTGCTGTCTACTCACCTGTCCTTTCTTTCTGCGCCTTCTCCAAAGCCTGAGGACTTATCTGAAGCCACAGCCTGAAGGCATGTGCTTCACTTGACTCTCCATAGAGATGCTGAGTCTCTTATAGATATAAGGGTAGCTTTTGGCAGAATCATTTACCAATATGAATAAAATCAACTGAATTCATTGAATAAGTTTAATTCATGATAATTTCATAATAAGTCATGAAAAACTGTGAATAGTCCAGTTGAATGAAGAATTATTTTTTAACATGCTTGATTTGAGGTCTAAGGCTTTGCTGGCTTTTCAGGCTCAAATTGAATGCTCTTTGGAGCCCATTGGCAGCAGGTACTTCTAAGAATAGCCCTGGTTCCTCCTGACCCCTTGCACATCCATGAATTGTGGACTGCTGTGCTGTTAGTCACTGCACTCAGTTGTATCTGACTCTTTGTGACCCCCTTGGATTCTAGCCCACCAGGCTCCTCTGTCCAAGGGATTCTCCAGGCAAAAATACCAGAGTGGGGTTGCCAGTTCCTTCTCCAGGCAATCTTCCCAGCCCAGGGATTGAACCTGGGTGTCCCACATTGCAGGTAGATTCTTTACCATCTGAGCCACCAGGGATGCCATGGACTTTGGACATTAAAAGCCAAGATGAAGATAAAAGACTTCCTGAAAGTCCTGTGTTCCTGTGGAAAATATTTTAAGTCAAGTGGAGTATTTTCCTTAAAGGGCCAGGCCCCCTGGTTTATCAAACAAAACTCATGATGGAGGTTGTAATGAGTCAGATACATTTCCTGGTGGCTGAAAAAGGATTTGTCTTTGAGCCTCTGCTATTTTATTCATATTTTCATTACCTGACCTCTTGGGGCTTAAGAGTCTAATTGGCTTATGCTGTGAACTAAACTCACTAGTTCATATGAACTCAAGTCATCTCCCTGCTTACTAGGAACAATTTCATGTAACATTGCTTGTTTTGGTGAATGAGACAAAAATAAAAATGCAAACTCAGCAGTTCTCCTTATTTTGAGTATTTTCCCTTCTTGCTTGTGAACTGACGTTTCTCCTGGATATTTTCTCCCCTGGTCTCTTCAGACTTTCAGGTCTCTTCTGATTGATTTCCAGTGTCATGTTCCTTCTACAATATGATACGTTCCTTAGCTTACATGTTGTCCTGAATGTTGCTGCTCTTTTTTTTTTTTTTTACAAGTAGGTTGTTAATTTTGCACTCTCTGAGCTCTTAAACCCTCTATGAAAATTTTACAGTGAGTAATGACATATGTTTCCACAGAACTTGGCAGCATGGAGCCACACACTCACTAGGAAAGTGTTTTCAAGCACAGCTGTCTCAAATGAGACCTGAGGTTCATATCTGTGTCTTAGGAGCTAAGACCTAGGTCGCTTCTTAGGCACTGATAGATGTTGTCATTAGTTTTATCAATGTTATTTGATTGTGTAAACTCCAGCAGCAAGTGTAAGCATCGGTTTGTAGTCAGATAGACCTGGATTCCTTTCTTGGTTCCATCATTGAAACCAGGCTGTGTGATCCTGGGAAAGTGCCCCAACATCTCTGAGCCTTAGACTGTGATCCCTACAACCGGAGATAAGGATATCTATCTCTATTTGTTTTCTCTGAAGGCTGAAACAAATTACCACAACTTAGTAGTGTAGAAAACACAAATTTATTATCATACTGTTCTGAAGGATAGAGAAACCCAATAGAGGTCTCCTTGAGCTAAAATCAAAAGGTTGACAGGATTCTGTTCCCTGCTGGAGGCCCCAGGAGAGAACTCATTTTTCCGTCTCTTCCATCTCTTAGAAGGTGTTGCTGATGGTCCTCTTTCTCCATCTTCAGAGCCAGTGGCAGCAGGTCAAGTTCTTTGCATGTTGCATCGCTCTGACCTCCTCTTGGCGCACCTCTCTTTCACTTTTAAGGAAGTTTGTGATTACATTGTACCA